TTATAATTGATGATGGTGACAATGGTAAATAATTTTTCACTAACTATAAAAATTGGAAATCTAGCATCAAACACTACCCAACCACAATGCCAACCCATTAGATCATGAAAAAAATGTAAAAATCAAGACTTATAAATTAACCTGATTTCCAGCAAGTAAACCTTAAGGGGGTGTTTGGTTGAGGAGAAATTTTTTGAATAGTAGGGAAATGTAATTGATAGGGAAGTGGTTGGAAAGTGAGTTTGGTAGGAAAATGTAAAAAAAGTTGTTTGGTTGAGTAAAATTTTACCAGGAAAATTATGTGAAATTCCTGAATGTGTGTTTGGTTGAAGATAAAATATTGATGGGTAAATTTAGTAAAATTACAAAATAACCCTTTGTCAAATATAGTTCATAAACATAAGAGAAGAGATGGTGTTTGTGATAAAAGCCTCATTGTGCTATGAAGATAGGTCAGATCTCTTAACTGATCTCATCAAAACCTTGAAAGCGTTAAGGTTAAGAACACTCAAAGCTGAGATCACAACGCTTGCTGGGCGTGTTAAGAACGTGCTTTTCATCACTGGGGATGAGGATTCAAGTAGCAGTAGCGGAGAACAGTGTTGTATAAGTTCAATACAAGAAGCACTGAAGGCAGTGATGGAGAAGAGTGGTGGTGAGGATTCAACAGCTTCTGGGAATGTTAAACGCCAAAGGACTAATATCAACAATAACCTCAGGGAACAACCGGAGGCATGGACCATGGTTGCAAGATCTGGAGAAACTCCAGGGAACAATAACCTCATTGATACCTCTATTCACCAAATCGAAGTCAGACAGCTAGTTGGATTTGGTATGTGGCTGAGATTTTCTTCCTCACAAGTGGATAAGATGAGGGGTAACTTTGTCAAATTTTTCATTCCTTTTTCAAGTTGTTCGGTATTATTGAATAATACCATGGTCGAACAGGGTTTCTTCAACAGTGAAAATTGCCCTGATTTACACTAAAACATCGATAGTTAGGGAAGCATGTTTGATGGCTAAATTTTGGGTTATCCCTCAACCAAACGTGGAGAACTGAGTTACCCACATGCACTTTGCTGGGATACTAAGTAGAAAACCCGAACCAAACATAACCTAACAGTAATGAAACATAACCATTCTTTGTATTGGACCAAAAAAAAAGTTCTCTTGGTGGGTAATGTTAAATATAATTCTTATATTATAGTATTGGATCTTAAATTTGACAAATAGATTATATATTCAAGACGATGAGAGAAAACATAAATATCATATGATTATATAGATGGATACAAATGAAAAATACGGCTAGAAATTAGTTCCATTGATTATTTTGAAAAGGAGACCAAATAATATTACCTATAGAGCAAGAAAATGGTGAGGTATTTGAAAATTTACAAGTAAACATGCATGGTAAATGATTGTGAGTGGCTTGCCTTCTACAACAAAGTTAAGAGTTTACAAACTTATAAGCTTAAAACACGTAAAGGCAAGCATATTAGTGGCTAGCTAAGATGAAAACAATAGAGAAGTTCCAAGGAAAAATAGTTGAGAATACAACTAAATTTGGGACTATTTTGAGGGACTTAGAGATAAAAATGTAACTTCAACTCTTGAAGTGATGGTTGACAAACATTCACTTACTCATTAACTCTTCTTTTAGTGGTTATATATGTCTATTAATACATCGAAGAAATGATCCTTGGCTAGTTTTAAACATATCATTGAATTAGATGGATAACACTTTAAAGGGACAAATGAATAACAATTATTAGTTGCTATGGCTAGGGGTATGAACGAGAGTTACTTCACATTTGTTGTAGTTTCCATAGAGAATGAAACAAAAGACTCTTGTGTTGATTAATGACATTGTTATCAGAAGATGCATAAGTAACAAATACGAGGAGATTTGTGTTTTCTTTTTTACCAAGAAGTGGTAGTTTTTTTTTTTTTTTACTTTGATTTGGTTTTTAATTGTTTAATAATTACACATTGAATTGGTTTTATAAGCCATAGGGTTTGGTTTAAATGTTTGAAGAAATACTGCAATATTTAGAGCACATAGTATACTTTTGACCTTTATATGTCAATCACAAGAAAGACTATGAAGGTTGCTCAATATTAAGAAATTTGGTTCTTTCAATTATAAAGGATTTATATACACAAAAATGAGAGACAAAGATAAAGAAAGTATAGATGGTTTAAAAATTAATACCATGACAAGGTAATGATATTATCTCCAGAATTATGGATGAGGTCTAACACTTCTCTTTTGATGAGATCTTGCTTCTCTTGCCATTTTTGAGTGAGATGGTCTTGAAGATTACAACAATAACTATTATTCTCAACGAGTTAAAAACTTGTTAAGAACATGTAGTAAATCCAATCAACGGGGAAGACATGATTTCCACTGAATGTGTAGATTCTACAACCAACTTTTGTATCTAATTAAGCCAAAAAAACCTAAGGAGAAAAGCTAACGAGACACCATCCCATTTAAGTTTAGAAGAAACACTTTTAAGATGTGTAAATTGAGACATCAATGGCCAAATAGAGAACTTGTAAAAAACATAGAATAAACTCTCAATCAAGGATTCCAAGACCTAGAGCACTAGATAGCAGTGGCGTAGCCACTCCTATGCCAGCAGGTGCCTTGACACCTGCTTGGTTTTAAAAAAATTTATTTGTTATATATAAATATATAATTAATTATAATTAACTAAGATTAAATTTGTAATTTGGCACCACCTAAATAAATATAATTATATTTATGTTTTTCAATCAGAAAAATAAAACCCAATACCCAAACCCTTTTACCTAACCCATCAATTAAAATTACTTTCAAAGCCTTAATTTGTGACTTACAATTGCAATCATAATAAAGACTCAAATTATTCTCAAAGAGGAGATGCTACTTACTTACAATAATTCGTAGTGAAGGCTCAAATTGCTCTCAAAGAGGAGATGCTACTGCAGCTTATAAGATGATCACTTCCTTTAAATTTATCTTTAATTTATTTTTGATGAAAGAGATAATGAGCATCACTGAAATTCTTTTTCAAGCATTACAACAAAAATCTCAAGATATTTTGAATGATATACAATTAGTTTCAAGTACAAAATAACTTATTCAAGAATTACGAGATTCTATCCTTGAAGATTTTGTCGGTTTAAAAAAGCGTTGTTTACAATTTTAGGTATGCATTTTTCTATTATATTTTAAATTATTTATTAAATGTTATTAAACATATATTTATTATATTTGTGTGTTTTCATATCCTTAGGACAATGCTTGGTCCATTACTTATTGGGATAGGTTATTTTACCTACCATTTTTTCTGCCTACCTTTGCTTACCACTCTTCAATACCATTGGATCAGAATCTCAATTACATTTATTATTTCTTTTTCTTATTAAGATTCTGATCTAACGATGTTGGAGAGTGATAGACAAAGGTAGACGAAAAAAATGGTAGATAAAATAACATATCCCCTACTTATTATGCTATGAGAGGAAAGTGAAATTCTTATGTTTAAAATGCTTATCGAAAAGGTTAGTGCCTTTTTATATGTTTGCTTTGATATATAATTATTGATAATTGTTCATTTGAATTTTTAATGTTACGTGATATTATTTAATACATAATTTAAATAACTATGTTAGAATTTATAGTAAATTTTTTTCAGTTTGTGTAATTATAATAAATATTTTAATAATTTAATATGTTAAAAAAATTTAACACCACCTAAAATTTTGGTGTGGCTCTGCCAGTACTAGATAGCCTAGTTTGAAAGGTGTGTCATCACGTATAATATCGCATGCAACAAGTGGGATGGCAAGAAAGAAAGGGGAGGAAAAGAAAAGAGGAGAAATATGATACCAAAAAAAAAAGAAAAAGGAGAAATAAATAATACACAAAATAAAATTGTAAACTCTTTTTATAATTTTTTGGGAGTTTCAAATTTTATAAATGAAAATAATAGAGATAACCTCTATTCAGGAGTAGATATTCTCCTAATACACCTGCAACTCCTACATATACATTTATGGGATAAATAAATCTTATGTTGTAGGAATAACCTTATCTCATGTTAGTGAGAGCTCGATTTTAGTGTTAATATTTTCTTTTTTATTTAAACTAGTGGACCCACTTGATTGTATGTGTAGGAGAAAAGCTCCTCTGATGTTGCATAAGAAAATGCAACCCCTACATTTATTTATGTACTTTTTAAATGATAGATAGAAAATGGGCTTTTAGTTTGTTATGTTATATGAAAAATGAATAATAGTTTTATAGAGAAAAGATTTTGGTGGGCCACTTTAAAAGAAAAAAAAGAAAAAGAAAAAGAAAATTAAAATTCTCAATGTATGAGCAGAAATAATGAATAATGTTCATGTAACATTGTAAACTAAAAACCCATAGAAAATATATAAAACTTCTAATAAATGGGACTAAATTAATGTAAAGATTTAGTTTCAAAACATGGTCAATTGGTCCACGAATGTTAAAAAAGATATGTAATTTCATTAATGCTACTTAATTAAACTCTTTCCTCTTTCATAATAGTGTGCAATTTTTTTTTAAGAGTAAATATTCTTTTTGCTCCTCAGCAAATTTTACGACGTCCGTTTTAGTCCCTAGCAAATAAAAAGACTCATCGTGGTCCCTAAAAAATTTAGAATGGACCCATTTAGTTGAAATTTTGGTTCCTCACAAATTCAGAAAAGACCCATATTAGTCCCTAAAAGGACTAAAATGAGTTTATTTTGAATTTTTTAGGGACCACAATGGACCTTTTAAAACAGGTGTGGTAAAATTTGCTGAGGACAAAAATGGTATTTACTTTTTTTTTAATTTCATTTCTTTTTATATGTATAGTGAAAATCAAGTTGAATTTCCAATATTTTTTTTTAATTTGAAATTTGAGCTATTTATTATTAAAGGTCTTTGTCTTCTCCTCTTCTGTTACACACACTCTCTTTCTTCTGTTTGCAGAAGAAAAATCATAGATAGTGATAGAAGCATGAGCAGCGATGGTGTGTCTAGGGTTCCGATTCCCAACAATGTACGGAAAACCATCCAAGACATCAGAGAGATCACCGGCAAGCTGCACACCGACGATGAAATCTACACCGTCCTCAGGGAATGCTCCATGGATCCTAATGAAACTGCTCAGAAGCTTCTCTATTTAGGTTTTCCTTAAACCCCTCTTTTTTTTCCTTTTATAATATTTTAACATGCATAGTAGTGTATAAATCATATGCATAAAACTTGAGCTTTTCACATGAACAATACTGAGTCTTTTTTTTTTTTTTTTTAAAAAAAATAAAAATTATATTTGATTTTACCTAATTGGGTTATTGGGAAATTGAAGATAATGTTTGAAAGTTAGAAACTTTACGGATTATGGAAGTTTAGTTATTATTATCAATTCAATGCTCGTTGAACTTCGAATGTTTACTTTATTTTTTTTATTTTAGTTTTTTACAGTTTAATGTATGGGAAAATACTGATCATGGAAATTGTATATTACTACTTTAGTGCTATCTTTTGTATCTATGGTTTATAAGGGAAAGTTAGTAAATTCATCTGTCTGGTGTTGAGAGTAGTGATTAATCCAATTTGTTTTGGATGGCATTGATATAAAGCCATCCTTGCTTACAGGATGTGTTTTCCTAGACCTTCTTTCTGTAAAGAGGAAATGGCTGAAGTGCTTAATCTAATATTATTTTCATTCTCGATATCTGCCTCACTCCAAGAGTGACGCTTAATTTAATGGCTTAAGTATTCCTTGCTTCACATTCGTTTGTCTTAACTTGTATCTTGAGAAGAGATATTTTTAAGGCATTTTTACGATTATGTCGCTTTTTCATGATCTCTAGATTAATTGTTTTGTTGAGATAATTATTTATTTAATTCATTGATTGCAGATACTTTTCATGAGGTTAAAAGGAGACGTGACCGAAAGAAGGAGGTGCATTTTTTGCCCCATTTCAAAGTTCTTTACTTTTTTCCCCTTAGTTGCTATATGTTTATATTTCAGCAGTTGCATATTTGCTGCTCATGTAAGTTGAGTTTAAGCCTGCTGAATATTTATTCAATATCTTGTTTTAATGAGTTGATCAGTAGAAAGTTACATTGGAATGTCTAAATATGTATACTATTGTTATTATCTGATTCCTGCATGTTAGAAGTGTGTAATCATGCAATATTACTTACTGAGAGGAAAACATCTGGGTTTAGTTATGTGATTGCTTTGTATGTGTCATTTAATGTGTATAAGTCTAGTTGTACACGAGTAAAGTAAACATTCTTGTATTTTTTTTTTGCATCCTATTTTCTCTGATATTTATTGTCACTGAATTTGTGTTCCAATTGAACATTGTAGGGCTTGAGCAACAGGGGCATAGAGGATTCTAGATTAAAACAAGGTGGTCATGGGAGGGGGAGAAGGGGTGCTTCAGCAGGCTATTCCTCCAATTTTTCTGGTATGATTTTCTGCTTTATGAAGGGTTGACTTTAGCCTTTGTTTTTCTTTTCCCTTTGGATCATTTATGGAGAGCCATTTCGATAGAAACTGAAGAAACAGTAATTTTATTTATTTAACAATGGATTCCAATCCTTCAACAGAGGCAGGATTCCCTGGGAATTACAACCTTAACGAAAAATTAAAGAAGACCAAAACAAGTATAATCAGGCACTGAAGATAGCAGTCTTGTTCAGGCCACCCGAAATCATTCTCCAAACTCTTCTCCACGCCCTCTGTATAAACTCCCCCCCCCCCACACACACACACACACACATATCCTCAATCACACCAGAATCATTTCCCTCTACCACACTAGAACGTTACCCTCCATTCATTATTTGCCACTTGTCATATCTGTTATGTTCCCAATTCTCTGCACTAACCAAATTCCCCACTGTTTTATTGATTACATTTCTTCTGTTTTCTTAGTTTCCCCTTATTCCGTCATTGATGCTATTAAGCCGAACTTCCTTCAATCCAGTCCCCATGCGTTTCCTTTTTCTTTCATATACGTGTGTAAACAGCCCATCACACACATTTACACAAATGGTCACTTGGAAACCATCTTTCTCCAAAATAAAATAAGATGCCATCAATTTTGTGTGCTTTCTTATAACCTTGCACTTACATGATTCTTTCCTCCAATATGATTTCTTAACCAGATCTTTTAATTAAATCTTGAAATTTATGCATTTATCCACTGCTGCATGATCTTTATCACCACATTAAGTGCATTTTGGTTCCAGCGGGATGAGATATAGCTCCCCCTCCCCTCCTCTTAGCTTTCGATGCTGTTGCAATTTTCTTTTGCATTAACCCATTAAAACCCTTAAATGTTGACTTGTTAGCTGTTACCTTGCCTTGCAAATATCTCCTTTTAGATGGTGGTGGTGGGAGGAACCTTGCTAGTCATAGGGAAAATGTAGTCAATCACATTGCAGAGAGAGGACGTGAACCTTCTACTCAGCCAGTTTCAGAGAAGACAAAAAATAATTCTACATCTCAAGCCTCAAGGTTTGTTCTTTTTTCTTCTCCTATTTATTTGATTATCAGAGTAATGCATGACTAAAGAAAAGAAAAGCTGATAATTGATAAACAATTCTTGTTAATTAAAATAATTTTTATTCTTTCATTATTTCTTGAGATTAACGTATAATAAGAAATCATTGACTACTTTATTTTCCTTACGAATAACCAATTTATTTGAAAGTTGGTATGCATGATAAAGTGATGGTATCTCATGATTCTGTGGCCCTTGGATTGCTTAAACTTATTTTGGATGAGTTTTTCAATGGTGTAAGTATGATATGTCTTTACACCATTGCCAATGGATCCTAACCGTAACAGTTGTATATTGGCTTCATTGCTTAGTTTTCTATGAGTTACAACTTACGTGTATCCTCTTTAAAATTGCCTTTCTTCAATTCTAGAGTTTCAGCTGTTGCAGCTAATGGTCCTGTTAATCATTCCAATGGGAGTTCTCGTCATGGTTTAGCTGATCAATCTCTCGTAGGTAGTGGCACAAGTGTCTCTGAAAGCAGTCCAGCTGTTAATGGCGCTAACAATATAGAGAATGTCCAGCCTCAAGATGTTGTTGCTTCACCCTCTTCCCCTATTCAAACCTGTGGCTCAGCTACCAGCATTGACCAAGGAAAGTCCCTATCAAGTTCTGATCAACTTCCATCTTCTTCTGTATCTGTTGTCTATTCATCTTCTTCGGATCCTGTACTGGCACCACCTATCTCTCAGAATCATGGTGTCTGTGGTGCAATGAATCAGGAAGTTGGGAATCAGTGCATATCTGCTGAACTAAATCATGTTAAAGGAAACAAGATTGTTCTTCCTGAAACTGTTGATTTACCATCATCCAAGAACGAAAAATCCAGTTCTGTGGATGCAACAAGCAAACATAAGGCCTTAAACAAGTCGAATGAAGTTGAAAAGAATCAGTTATCTGAGAATTCACGGTTTTCACCCTCTCTATCATGTAATGATTCTTTGAGGTCAACATCCAGTTGTGACAACCAGTCACCTCTAGGTAAAATTTCATTCTCTGTTTGCTAAATCTTATGAGTAATAGGATTGGTGTACGTATCCATTTCCCTCTGGGCACTTTGTGTTATTGGTTTTGAATCTTCCTTAATTTTCTGCTCAAAACAATTTATCAAATGGATTGCATTATGGGTTTCCTAGTATAGAAAAGGAGGACAGTGTAAATTCTCAGAAGAAAAAGTGCAAAAACCTTAGAAAAGGTATCTTAGGAAAAAATAAGCCAGGGAAATGAACCCCTGAAAGTATAGGAGCATAATAACATTTACAATAAGTACTTTAAGGAAGAACCGTTCTAAGCCTCTAATTTAAACTATCATCAGTCACTCATGTCTGGATTCTACTTCCATGACTTAATCTCCAATTTTTAGTTGTTGAGATTATCTGTTGTTTTCTTTACTGCAAGAATTCGTAAAATAAAAAAGAAAAGAAAATCATGTAATTTTTTTTTATCAATTTCTGAAACAGTCACTGCCTTAGAGGCTTCTGAGGCTTGTGTGCCATCTTCAGCTGAGTTGAGACAGCATGTTACTTTTCCAAACCATTTCCAAGTACCCAAGGCTTTAAAAACTGGTCTGACATTTGGAAGCTTTGATAGTTTTGGTCCGAGAGATAGTTCTAGCAGTGGAGCTGGTGGTGACAATTACACTGCTGCTCTTGAATCTTCTCCAGGGAGTGACGAAACTGCTACTTCTAGGTTTGTAATCCATATGCTGCCTGTGTGCCTTTGTGTGCATATTAAATTTTAGTTGTTTCCCCCGTTGCCTTTACAATGGTGTGTAAATGCTGCTTGGTTGGGTCAACTTGGCTTTGTCTCCGTATGTCAAACTTAATTCATTAAGGGTATAATCATGATGCCTCTTAATTAATTTTATTATCCATTTATGGCCCCAAAAGGATTGGGTGAACAGTGAGGTTGTAGAATGCCTCTCTGGTTATGGTGGGGAAGGGTTTGGGTTCGAAACCTGTGCTATCTATCTGTTCCTTCAGCTGGGTGCTGGCAAGGTGGAAAATTTCTCTTCAGGGAAAGTATCACACCTCTTTCATTACCCTTTGGCAATCATAGGACTGGGTGATTGTTTCTTGACTTCTGTTAATATTCTTGGTTGAATTGATTGATCTCTCTTCTTGTTATTTTATGATGGTGTGCTTCTGTAACCTCAATTCTAATGGTATCTCATGTTTGGATGTAGTAATCAAAGTGCATCATTGTCTGCACAAGGTGACCATGTTGAGTATCCACAATCTACATCTTATCTGATTGAAAAGACGCCAGCTTTAGAAAATTCTACAATTGTTTCTGATTCAAAGAGTGCTCAGCCAAAGCAGGAGGTATTGTTAGCTCAGGAGGCCCCTCCAATTCCGAATGTTCAAAGTGCTCAAAACTATGATTTGAATTTCATGTCCAACATGTTAGGGTCTCAGCAAGTTCAATTTGAGGGATCCCAGGCACAAGAAACATCTCGCCTTCCTAACTTCGTTGTAAGTCTCCATCTCTTAATTCTTAAGATCTTCATCTATCTACTAATTTTAAAACCTCCTTATGTTTTAAGATCCTCCTAACTTTGTTTGTCTGTTCATTCTAAAAACTAGTTGCTTATGTGTAATTTCCTGAAATGCATGCACTTATTATGATATGATTTCAGCATTAAGGGAAAAGAAATGGCTTGGTTCCAATTAATCCCATGTTGTTGTTGTTATTATTATTATTATTATTATTATTAATAGTAGTTGTTATTATTCCTGAAATGCATGCACTTAGTACTAGTTATGTAGAATGTACATAAACTGGAGCATTCATTTTATTGCCCTGTTTTTTCCTGATGGAAAACATGTGGCATTCAGTGTGAGTTATGGAGGAATGATCATATCTGAATGTGGTTGTCTATTTTGTTGGAGATTTGCTTGAGGTTTATTGGTTTTTCTGTTGTGTATGTTTTCGGCTTTCTCCGTGTTGATTGTCTTATAGTTATGAACTTTAGAAGAATTGTTGTTTTCCATATGCTTTTGCCATTAGAAAAGGCACCAACATGCTCTTTTTAGGTACATGAAATTAAGTTTGGCATTACATTTTATTTTCATTCTTTGAAGAAATCGTTTGGTTTCCTTTGGATTTATTGAATTTGCAATTAGCACTGTATTTGTTTCCTTTTATTTATGTTTCGATTATCCTTTTCTAATTGTAGAATGCAAGTTCTCAGACTGTGTCTAGCCCTAGCTCAACTCCACCGCTACAGAGCTCTATACCTGTATCTCCACAATCTGTTTCTATTTTCAGGCCGCCTTACCCTCCTAACTTCTTCCCATATGGCCATTACTACCCCCCAATTTATGTGTCACCAATGCACCAATTTCTGAGTCACAATGGCTTCCCTCAACAGCCATCAGTGGGCAACATGTATCTACCAGCAGCAGCAGCTGCAGGAATCAAATTTCTCCCTCAATTCAAGGCCGGAGCAAACGCCGGAAATATGGCGCATCTTGGAATTCCTTCTGGACCATTTATCACCCCACCAGTTGGATATGCTCCTAGTCCAACAGTGAATACTGGAAGCACCTCTGGAAATGATGATCTGGCAGTATCTCAGTTGAAGGAAAATCAGATCTATACAACTGGACAGCTGGTTGGTTCACTTATTATTATGTTTCTGTTTCACCCTTTCTTTTTTCCTGATATAATAGATCATCTTTCTGTTATTTATATGGAACTTTGGCTTCAATATCATCTAGCTTATTTTATTATGTAGTTTATGTCACTTGATCAACATCCATCCAAATTCCTGGTTTTTGCCATAGTTATTATAATTGTTTGTTTATCTTTATATTTTAACTTTTTGCAGAGTGAAGGCTCTGCTGTGTGGGTACCTGCACCAGGGCAAGATATATCCAGCTTGCAAGTTAGTTCTCTGTATAACCTTACCCCACATGGACATCTCGCCTTTCCCCCAACACAGAATATTCATGGGGCATTTGCTGGTATTTATCATCAACCTGGGCAGACAGTAGCTTCACCCTCAACCCTTTTGCAACAGTCTCAGGCAGTGGCTGGGGCTGTTGAAACTGTAGGGCCCCCTTCAGGTGCTTATCAACAGCCCCAGCATGCACAGGTCAATTGGAATTCTAACTTTTAGGATTGAAAACATTTGTCTTTGGCATAAGTTACAAATGCACATAGGATGTGCTCAAATCCAGGATGTATGGAACACTGGCCTGATCTGAGTGTAAATAAGAATTGCGGCCAAAGAAGAAGAAAGTCAGTACCCATTTTGGTGGATATATTTGATCCTAACGATTTTGAGGGGTGATAGTTTCTTTCTTTCTTTTTTTTTTCCCCCCCGGAGGTTTTAGTTATTTTTAAGTCACCTGTTCCTTTTGCCCTTGAAAGAACATTTAGTTGTTGCTATATGAAACTTTGTATCCTAGTAATATTATAGGAGATAAGAGTTCAATAGAGTTGGTGAGATTTATCAGTTTTTCTTTTCTTGTGTCTCACCTGTATATTAATACATTTTGATAGCACCAGACATTCAATTATACAATTCTATTTGGTAAATGAGAATTGTATGTGTTTTTCCCCCATTAAGCTCAGTGCATGTCTCCCTCCATGTGAATGATGGGTTAAAGCAGTGTTTGCAAATTTTTTACGTGCTTTCTTTGAGCTCAGGGGGACTTTTAACTTGATAATCTTAATCGTAGCCCTTTATAGTGTCAGTAACCTTCCTCGATCATGCATAGGAGAATGAGCACGTGGATGTTTTTTGATCCGAAAGTCCTAAAGTCTTTTCTTACCTCCATTTTGCCCCTTGATTTGGAGCATATCTTCAGTATTATAGGAGTATATATATTTTTTATTAAAAATAGAAAGAGTCTTAGATAATAATAATCATAAAAAGATGGGTAAAGAAGGAAAAATCAGTTATAGACATCGGTTTAATTTTTTTGCAGTTGATGACTTGATGTAAGTGTGTTATTTTCACAAATAAAGCAGTTGGTCTTGGTCCTACAAAAAACGAGAGAATCTCATGTAGTGGAGTTTGTTTAAAAAATTGTCTATATACTTTGAGGAGGAGTACATTGTTTGTCTGTGACAGATAAATTTTTTTGTAACAAACTGCGAAAATAATTTTTCATATATATATATATAGGGTCAGGATCATTTTACACCAGTGTAAGTTACACTTTCAATCTTGATCGTTGATCCCACTTATATCTAACGGCTCAAATTTTTTAGTAATATGAGCTATTGGATACAAGTGGATCAATGCTCAAGATTGAGTGTAAGACTTCTAACTCTTACACCAGCGTAAGAATATCCTGTCTCATATATATATATATGACTTTATTATTCTTCTGTGAAAGAAAACAAGATTTTTTTCCGGAGCAGGATATTCTTACACCGATGTAAGAGTTAGAAGTTTTATACTCAATCTTGACCATTGATCCACTTGTACCCAATGACTCACATTACTAAAAATTTAGAGCCCTTAGATATAAGTGGGATCAATGGACAAGATTAAGAATGTAACTTACACTGATGTAAAATGATCTTGACCCTTCTTTTTTTGCTAACTTAAAAATGATGCGGGTCCATTTAATTTTTTTTTTCTTTTTTTGGTGGGTCTCTTTGCTGGTTTGTCTCTACAGCTGAAGAAATTTTTTTTTCCTATAAAAGGAGACTAATAAAGCTCATATATATATATGGGTTTAACTTTTCTTATGTTGTAGGATTGTAGGAGAGAAAAAAAGTAGAGAAAAGTTAAATGTGGGTCCCATGTTTTATATTAAAAAAGAAAAGAAAAATTAATTGGCACGGAAAACGAATTTGTGTAGGAAAATAATGTAATCTCATGTGACATGAGAGTATTATTTCCCTATATATATATATGTGTGGAAAAAATGTTTATCTTTTTAAATGACACAACTTATATCCTTTTACTCTTACAAAGAGGTGAGACCCACACTTTTTTTTTTTTTTTGTCAACTCTCTCTTCCCCTTTATCTATCTCTTTCTCTCTCTTAAAATGACACAACTTTACATCCTTTAAAATGACACACACTTTATTCTATATATATATAAGTGATCCTTTTCAACCCATTAAACTACAGAGTGTGGCAGGAGTGCTCATATGTATCTTGAATCTCAAATATTCCCAAATACTCACTGATTCTATCAGTCAGACAACGGCGTTAATAATTACATCCGCATGTGTCCTTATTGGTTTTAACGAAGTCAGTGTTGGCTTTGGAAGTTGCTTATTCATATTTTCCTGAGACTCTTGAAAGTTCAATGTTGTGTAAACTGACATTCCAATACTCAATTCCACTGAATATTAGATTGCCTACCGAATAAATTTAAGGCTTGTAGAAAGCACAATGAACAAAACCCAAAGACAAACATGAATATTTCCGTCAATCACTCAAACCAATGAGAAAAAGAAAAAACAAATTCTTAACGTGTTCATGTATAGAACTTTGAAACCCCAAAACAGGAAAGAATGGTAATTGACCGAAAGAAATAGTTGCTTCCAATGAGCTGTTGAGATAACTTCACTTATACTGTAACTGTTATGTAATGTTTTCATTTTCCCTAGCAATGGCATCAAGATCAGCTTGCAGCTTGCTCACTCTAAGGTTCTGGAAGCTGTGGCTGCCAATTTCCAATAGATGTTGAAACAACTTCACTTACCTGTAACTGTTATGCAAGGTTTTTATTTTCCCTAACAATGGCATCAAGATCAGATTGAAGTTTGCTCACATCTAAGCTTTTCGAAGCCGTGGCTGCCAGTTTCATTTCATATTCAGCTACTTCTCTTCTAACTCTATCAGTTGCCAGAATTTTCTCAGATATTTGCTCAAAACCTTTATGGATGCTAACGAGGAGCCTATAAACTTGCAGTCCTGTTGGATCTTTCTTTGCTTCCCTGCAGACATAAGAAAGGGAAAACAAATTGAACATTACTTACCTTTGGTTAAAAACACAATCAACCATAACATGAAATAAAAGAAAGGAGAATGATTTCTGCAGTTGCGACATAAATCATTCCCTCTACCACTGATACAAAAACAAGAGAGAGAGAAGAGAAAAATTTATGTAGTGGCAGAGGGAATGATTTTTGCCGCAACTGCAGAAATCATTCTCCCATAAAAGAATTTACAGTTAAATCCCAAGTGATATTTAGGGTGCTTCATTGTCTCTTCATCTCTCTATTCCCCTCCATTTGTTTCCCATGTATATTTCCATTTTATTTTTTCTTTCTTGTGTGTGCGTAGTCATTAGCATAAATGTGTGGGTGGGTGAATGTACTGGCAATAATAAAACTTTCATACCTAAAGACAATTTCATCTGCAACAGCATACGTCCGATGCAAGCGTTCCTGAATAGAATTACTCTCCAATTGAACCTCCCTAGTTTCTTTTAAGATCCGCTCAATATCAGCATCTTGTTTCCGGCTATTTTTTGTAATCTCCTTGATCCGATTAGTATAGGATTTCCTGGATGCCACTTTCTGCTGTTTCTCAAGATCTGCAGAAAGTTTTGAATGTTCCTCCTCCCTAGAGAGAGAAAATATCCAAGTCAAGAAGGCGTATGCATGTTCAGAGTAAATCTGATTATGTAAGGACATCAATCTAGTAAAAGCAAAAGAGTTGAGATGAAATCAGCTGAAAGTTTGACACATTCGGTATATTATATTAGGTAAATCCAGTTTAACTGTGCTTCTATTTCAAATTTAAGATTCAATAGATACAAAATGAATCATAAGATTCATAACTTCATGTCAATTAGGATTTACAAATTCCCAAAAATTACAAAAAGGAAGCTTGCTGCACTGGGGCCATTGATTCTTGACTCTTTCTAGGAAGCATAAAGTTGCATATAAACAGCTTGTGAGAGGGAACTCATTTAAAATTCATTAAAGTGGCTTTAATGCATGAATAACTTGAAGAAAGAGAAATTCTAACAAGTTTCCTTCTCTAGCAGTCAAGAAAAACAAAAAGGAAAAAGAAGATATAGAAGGCAGCAATCTTCATTTAAGCAATACTTGAAGGGAATCAAGAACGATGGTAGATGGAAAAGCTGTATATTATGAATCACCAATTCCCAACAAAACTTGAAAACATGTGACTCATTGATCGTCTCCAGCAAGCAAAGGCTCATCTTAAACCATTGTTTAACTATGCATTTTTAACCTGCTTTAGCTTACTTTTCTTAAGAATTTTGTCTCAGTTAGCTAAAACAATGTAAAATGTACTATTCTTGGATATGTGTACCTCTTTATAATTTCAGATAAAATGGATTGCTCTTCCTCCTGCACTTCTCTCAACTTTTGGAGCATTTCTTGTGCATCTGGATTGTTTGAACATAGAGAATCCTCGTCGAGACTTCTCTTTCTCTCTTCCAAGGGTTTTCTTACAGCATCCCTGCGACATGTAATGAAATCCAGTGAACTTAACAATCTTTCCACCGCTCGCTCGCACTCTCTTACAAGAAAGTTAAGAAAATAATTCTGTTCTCAAGAGATATCATTTTTATCTTACAATTTGATGTGTGTGCGTGTCTTCTTTATTGGAGAGGTCAAATTTGAACATTGAACTATTCTATGTTGTACTTATGCTGACCCAGAATTAAAGAAAACCCTATAATAGACATCTATATCAAATACAGTAATTTTTTATAAATGTCAAATGAACATACCATTCTGACTCCGATTTCAAAAGGTAATGCCTTTTAGCTTGTAGTTGTTCATTCAACTGGTCAATGTAGAAGTCAACAGAATGTTGGTTATCAAATGCCATTTCCGCAGCTGCCTTCATCAGTTCCAATTCTTGTTCAAGATGCTCTAGTTCTGAAGTCCTTACAGTTCCTTCATCAATGAGTTCTTTCTCCTGAATTTGAAATTTATCAGTTTCAAATCTTATCTAGTCAAGTATCAAGTCTTAAAAAAAGAAACTGGTTAGCCGTATATTTCAATTTGCATATGCAATATTCATAAGACAAGTAAGACCTTTTATACACATTCAATAATTCTTCTTTGTTCTAGTTAAATGTAAAAGAATACGTTGTGTATTGATCTGTGTCAGGGAGTTACAATATATAGAGACCCTAATGGGCTTAAGTGTAAGGCCCAAACCTAATCCAAACCTAATCCTAATACAGTCAGAATACAGTCAGACTATTTACGGATAAGACAGAATCCAATCATATCTAATCAAATCTAATCATATCATATCTAATATTCTAACACTCCCCCTCAAGCTGGTGCGTATATATTATGAGCACCAAGCTTGTTACAAATGTATTCAACCCGAGGACCTCTAAGAGCTTTAGTGAAAACATCTGCTAGTTGATTAGATGAGTTGACAAAAGCTGTCTTGATTTCTCCTGACTGAATCTTTTCCCGAATGAAGTGACAATCAATCTCTATATGTTTGGTCCTCTCATGAAAAACAGGATTAGAGGATATATGTAGCGCAGCTTGATTATCACAGATGAGTGTCATGGGTTGTTTCTGTTCACAAAGATGAAGCTCCTGAATCAACTGCTTTAACCAGATCAACTCACAGGTAGTATTTGCCATTGCACGATACTCAGCTTCTGCACTAGATCGGGAAACAACAGGTTGTTTCTTGCTTTTCCATGAGATTAAGTTTCCTCCGAAGAAGACACAATAACCAGAAGTAGAGCGTCTGTCCGAGGGTGATCCTGCCCAATCGGCATCTGAGTAACCACAAATTTCTGTATTTCCCTGATCCGAATACAACAAACCTTTTCCTGGTGCTCCTTTGATGTATCGGAGGATCCTCACAGCAGCATCCCAATGTGAATCACAAGGGGAATCAAGGAACTGACTGGCCGTACTGACAGCGAAAGAAATATCTGGCCTAGTCACAGTAAGATAATTGAGCTTCCCAATCAGCCTTCGATAACGTCCAGGATCAGATAACGGCTCCACCTGTCTGGGCAATAACTTAACATTAGGATCCATTGGTGTATCAACTGGTTTACACCCCAACATACCAGTCTCCTCTAGGATATCCAAGGCATACTTCCTTTGACAGATAGAAATGCCCTGTCTAGATTGCGCCACCTCAATTCCCAAGAAGTAACGCAGCTTCCCAAGGTCCTTTGTTTGAAATGCACTGAATAAATGTTGTTTTAACTGATGGATTCCGTCTGGATCACTTCCGGTGAGGATGATGTCATCAACATAGACTAACAAATAGATGCACTTGTTAGGAGATGTAATCCTATAGAATACAGAATGGTCAACTTTACTGCGAATTAGGCCAAACGCCTGTACAGCAAAACTGAAGCGACTGAACCATGCTCGAGGAGACTGCTTGAGACCATATAAGGATTTTCGAAGACGACATACCTTCCCAGACTCCCCCTGAGCAACAAAACCAGGTGGTTGCTCCATGTAAACTTCTTCTTGTAAATCACCATGAAGAAAGGCATTTTTGATGTCAAGTTGAAGGAGTGGCCAGTGACGAACAGCAGCAAGGGCAAGAAATAGGCGGACGGACGCCATCTTAGCGACTGGAGAGAATGTATCGCTATAATCAAGGCCAAAGATTTGAGTAAAACCCTTGGCAACTAGGCGTGCCTTGAGACGATCAACATGGCCATCAGGTCCAACTTTCACAGTAAACACCCAGCGACAACCAACTATAGACTTCTCTGGAGGAGCAGAAACAAGGTCCCAAGTGCCATTGGTATGAAGTGCGGTCATCTCATCAAGCATCGCTTGGCGCCATCCTGGATGGGAAAGTGCTTCACCTGTGGTCTTAGGAATAGAAACAGAAGAAAGACTAGAAACAAAGGTGAAATGAGGAGGAGAAAGGCGATCATAGCTCAAGAAGGTATAAAGAGGATAAGGGTTACGAGTAGTACGTGTACCTTTTCTTTGAGCAATGGGAAGAGCCTCTGGTGAAGGATCCGGAGGGGAAGAATCAACTGCAGAGGGCAATGAGTCAGCAGGGGTCGAGTCGACTGGAGGTACTGTCTTACGACGCTGATAAGTGAGAAGTGGACGGTCCTTAGGTACTGGAGCAATAGGTGATGGCTTATCTGGAGTAGAAGCACCTGCATCTGGCAAAGACAAGTCAAGAAAAGGAACAGGAAGAACATGATCAACCTGTGACAATGGAGATGGGATAGAATTAAAGGGTTGTTGATCAAAAAAGGTGACATCCGCGGAAACTAAGTAACGCTTGAGGTCAGGAGAGTAACAGCGATAACCCTTTTGAAGACGAGAATAACCAAGAAAAATGCATTTAAAGGCTTTGGATGTTAACTTATCCTTACCAGGAGTGAGATCATGAACAAAACAGGTACAACCAAAAACATGTGGGGATAGAGGAAAGAGAGGAACATCTGGAAACAATAAGTTATGAGGAATATCATTATTAAGCACAGATGAAGGCATGCGGTTGATGAGAAAGCAAGAAGCAAGGACTGCATCAGCCCAGAAGTGAAGAGGAACATGCATGTGAATAAGAAGAGTCCTGGCAATCTCAATGAGATGTCTATTCTTACGTTCAGCTACTCCATTTTGTTGTGGAGTGTGAGGACAAGTGGTTTGGTGTAAAGTACCCTGTGTGGCTAAGAAGTGAGAAAAGTCAACAGAAACATACTCCTTAGCATTATCACTACGTAAAATACGAATAGAAGCACCAAATTGAGTATGAATTTCAGCAGAAAACTTTTGATAAATAGAAAACAACTCAGAACGGTTTTTCATTAAATAAATCCAAGTACAACGGGAGAAATCATCAATAAAGGTGACAAAATACCGAAAACCTAAAATAGACACACTACGACTAGGACCCCAAACATCTGAATGAATAATTGAAAAAGGAGCATCAGCTCGTTTATTGACTCGATTAGCAAAGGAGGAGCGTATGTGCTTTCCTTGCTGACATGACTGACAATCTAAAGTTTGAAGACCGGATAAAAGAGGAACCATCTTTTGCAATTTCGCAAGACTAGGATGCCCGAGACGACTGTGGATGAGCTGTGGAGATTCTGTGAGAGAACAAGCAACTGAAGGACTCGGCACATCAAGGTAGAACAGACCCCGTGACTCACGGCCCACTCCAATCATCTTCCCCGTACCCGGGTCCTGCACAGAAACAGAATGGTTTGAGAATGTGACAATACAATTAAGAGAATTGATCAATTTACTAACCGATATTAAATTATAAGGGATGTGAGGAATGTAATAGACAGATGTCAAGGTCAATGAGGAGGTTGGACAGATTTGTCCAATCCCATGAACGGGGGCCTTAGTTCCATCAGCAAGAGTAAAAGAGGGTAAATTATTAGAATATGTAAGGGAAGAAAAGAGTTCCTTATTACCACAGAGGTGATCAGTAGCACCTGAGTCAAATATCCAAGGACCAAGTGATGCAGAATGAGAAACACAAGCAACAGGATTACCAGTTTCTGAAGCAGAGGCCTGAGATTGAGGAGAGGACTTCCTGAGAAGGGCCTGGAATGCTGCATATTCTTCAGAGGAGAGAGAGACTGAACCATTTGAAGCAGTATCCGATTGAGCTACATTAGCAGCAAAAGAAGGTCGCATGTGAGGATACTTGGTGTAGCAGCGTTCCTCATAATGACCAAGTTGCTGACAGTAATGACAACGAGGTCGCTGACCACGTCCGACTGGACCTCCTGGGCCTCCTGGGCCACGACCTCCTGGGCTACGTCCTCCTGGGCCCCGGCCTCCTGGGCCTCTACCACGACCACGTCCACCTCCAATATGCCCGCGAAAATCAGTACGGGAAACTAGAGCAGTAGAATCAACAGCAGAAGACGATGCAGGAGCAGATTTCTTATTCAAATTCAGAAGACGCTGATACGTCATGGATAGATCAGGCTCCCCACTAGTCAAGATAGTATCACGAACATTATCATATTCTTCGGGAAGGCCAGAAAGTGTGGCAACCATAAAGAGACGTTCCACCTGTTTTCGATATGCAGTAGCATCAGTAGGGTAAGGCAGCATATCCAAATATGCCTGCATCAAAGAGCGACTCTTGCCAATATATGTCTCCATCTGAATGTCGGATGATTTGCTCAATTCCATAAACTGAGAGATGATGAAATAGAGCTGCTGAACATCATTAGTGTAGAGGTTTTTTGCTTCCTCCCACACTTCAGTGCAAGTTTGAAATGAATAAAAGATATCCAAGACAATCGGATCAATGGATTGCCAGAGGATACTCAGAAGTTGGTTGTCAATCTTTTCCCAATCAGACTTGTCCTCCTTAGGGACATCAGTAGACTTAGTTGTGAGATGGTTCCCATATCCTTGTCCAAAGAACCAAACTCGAACAGAGGTGGCCCAGTTCTTGTAATTAACAGATCCCTTCAATTTTGAAGAGGTAATGGACCCAATATTGGTAGAGATGATATTGGGAGAATTTCTCAAAGGAGGAGATGGAGACTTGACCTCCGAATGAATTGGAGGGTTTGCTGCCATAGTATCAAATCACAAAGATACAAACTGAATAAAGAGAAACGAACCTGATCACCAATCAAGAAGAGGTGCGCACAAAAAGCTAGACCCACAAAGAACCAACCACAGATCCAGAAAGAGGAGGAGAAGACGAGCTTCTCTGTCCAAGACCGGCCGGAAAAAGCCGCCGGAATAGTGCTCACGCGCCGGCAGAAGGTGGCGCGTGAAGCCCACGCGCAGAGAAGACTGGAGGCGCGTGAGAGCGCATGACAACTCCGATGGTGGCCGGACTTCCACAGAGCAGGTCGCCGGGAGGAGAGGGTTCTGTTCGCGTTCGTTCCAGACTGAAAACTCGCCGGAAAAGTACTCCGGCAGCCTGAACGGTGGCTGACGGTGGCTGATGGTGCTCCGGTGACTGTGGACACGTGCAGAAGATGCCTGGAGAGGACTTACAGCCTTTGATATCTTACCGGAAGGACGCACGGCAAAGAAAAGATGACTCCTAAGCAGTGGGCTTAGGTTTTAAAGCGAAGAACAAGATTTCTAAGCGGAAGCGAGGGTTCCCAGAACGAAATAGCTCTGGTACCAAGTTAAATGTAAAAGAATACGTTGTGTATTGATCTGTGTCAGGGAGTTACAATATATAGAGACCCTAATGGGCTTAAGTGTAAGGCCCAAACTTAATCCAAACCTAATCCTAATACAGTCAGAATACAGTCAGACTATTTACGGATAAGACAGAATCCAATCATATCTAATCAAATCTAATCATATCATATCTAATATTCTAACAGTTCTAAACATTTGACATGTTTGGAAATATTAGATCTAGAAAAAAGAAAGAGCTGAATATAAGCATATTTTTTGAATAGACATCAGCTTAGGATAAGAATATCATGATGTTTTTTAAGTAAAGATACCTTTTGTTTCAAGACTGTCGAATGTTCATCGCCAATATGAGGAGGATTCTCTTCATTTTCAAAAGAACCTCTTCCAGCATCAACCTGTCCTTCGGCCAATTCCTTTTCATTTAATACAAAATTCACTTCATCCTTGATAAAACCTTCCACCCTGGAGCTCGATTCATCTTTGTTGGCCTGATTGATAGAGGTGTCACACTTGGTACCCTCTGTTCCAGGTGTCTGAGTCTCCATTCCGAGATCATTTAATTTGCTTTCAACTTTAGAATAATCACCAACTACCCTCTCACCATCTGCTTCTTCAGTTGAGTCCTGGAAAGAGCTTCTTAAGTTATCTTCTCTTAGTGTGTTTATAGCACTTGTAATTTATGGTTAGCAACCCTAGCACTTTCAGACAACTCTGAAATCCTCTCCACCAAGAATCTTATCAACTTATACAGGTACTTTTCAGATGAATGCAGGAACTGCCGCAAGCAACAGATAAATTCTGTTTTTAAGCATAAATCTAGAACATAAGAATAACAAGAACAGTAATAAGAAGAAAAGCAAGCAGAGACGCAATTTACCAACAACAAGCATTGAAGACTATACAAGAGAAATTTTGCCACAAAAAGATCATGCAGATCCTATATAAAAAAAAAGAGGAGGCAAAAACAGAACCACTGCTATAAATGTGCAAGTGATGTATTAAATCATAACTGACAAAATAATGCTCCAAAAAAAAAAAGAAAAAGCAAAGGGGCTTCTACAAAATATCACTTTTTAAAATTCAATCACATGTTTTAAGATTTATCATATCAAGGAGCCTCAATTTTGCAAACCATGCTGATGTAGAATAATAAACCTAGAATACTCCCCTACGGCAGAGTACTTCTCTAACAAGGGTATCATATGCTCTCTGAAGAAAAGAAAATCACAATACCATATCATTATGCAAAAAAGGTGTGTCAAATATTTACACTGATAGCCTATTTATAAACCCAAAACAACCAAACACCTTAATAAGATAACCCAATTCTATACTAAAATAAGATAATCCAAAATAGGATAAAATCCCTAATAAATAACAAACAATCCCAAATCGAAAACTCAAATTTTAAAATTAAAATCCTAAAACTACTTGCCCATTTTACACCATATACATAAGACAGTTAAGTTGGATGGTATCACAAAATCATGCTTGTTTAGCATACTGCTAAAACAGTTCAGATCACATTCAGATCTGACATAACAAGCTAGCTTATTACTGTAACACTACTTTTAATTTTATTAGTAATGCAAATGCACCAAAATGTACATATACTAATTAATATACAAATATGTTGATTCTTATAGAGGGATAAATAAAGTCATCAACATATAACAGTGTATAAGAGCTTGATTATAATCTAAAACTACTAGACAAGATTGTTCAATAATCTCAGATTCTAAGTCACTGTCCCATTAAGTTTCAATCATTATACACAAACGGAACAACACAGATTAGAATACCATTTAAAAATTGAAAAGCCAAATAAAAAAAAAATTAATTTTTTCTCGCTTCCTATATTTTCTGAGCATTAAAAAACCGACCCAGAAGAGAAAAACACAAAAATTCTGAATTCTGAGTTTCTCACAGTACCTTGTGGACTCTGATATCTTTGCCGTGGAGGCGATGTTGGAAGCGAGGGAACTCTGAAACGACGCCGTGTGGTGAATGAAAATATTAAGCTTTGAATTTGGATGGTTGTCACTTTGTTAAAATCGATGTCGTATTGTCATCCAAGGTTGTGTTTCACTATTTTTTTTTTTTTTGACATTACAGGGAATCGAACCGCACACCTAATACACTCTAAACTTCTTTTTGGCCAAATCATTACCATCTACCAAACACCGCCCAAAAATTAAGAATTTGAGAAGTAAAAAAATAAATAAATAAATAAATATTTTTTCAGTCATCAACAAATTTTACAATACTCGCTTTAGTCCCTAACAAATAAAAAAGCTATTCGTGGTCATTAAGAAATTCAAAATGAGCATATTTTAGTTTTTTTTGAGGGACTAAATGGGTCTTTTTTGAATTTGCGAGGGATCACGATTTCAACTAAATGGATCCATTTTGAATTTCTTAGGGACCACGAATAGTCTTTTTATTTGTTAGGGACTAAAGCGGGTATCGTGAAATTTGCTGAAGACCAAAAATGATATTTTCTTAAGTTTTTAATATATTAATAATTATATCTTTATTAATTTTTTTTTTAATTTCGTAGTTAGTATTTTTAAGACATTCATTAGTATATTTTTTTTTTATAAATTTTTTCTAATCTAAAAAAGATTGCTATCACCGTGGGTGGAACCTTCTAAAGGAGAATATTTATAGTAGTCTTGGCATTAGGGGTGTTAACGAGCTGAGCCGAGCTTCGATCTTAAAAGGCTAAGTCTGTTATGAATATAGTTATTGGCCTGTGGCCTAACTTATTTACAAAAAATAAAAGTCTGATTTAACCTGTTAGTCTGTTTAACAAAAATAAGATAACAAAAATTTATCTAAACATAATATACAATCAACAGCACTAGTAATTCCATAAATATTCATAAATTTAATGTATATCCAAACAGCGTAATATAGAGAAAAGTCATTCAAAAAGTCGGTTTAACCAATAATATGAGTGAAATGGATTGAGGAGAGAGAGAGCTATTACAAGTAGTATAAAAAATATAAAATAAAAAAAATAATATAACAGGCAAGCCTGAGAGGAGCCCGATGCCTTTTTATTAAACGAGTTTTTATACAAGTCAAAGTCTGGTTCCAACAACCAATTTTAGACATGTAAGCTCAGGCCTTCACGAGCCGAGCCAAAAGCTCCTGGTTCGTTTATCACCCCTACCTGGCACACCTACTCCTTCCATTGAGGAGTTGCCACTTATAGAAAAAAACAAAATTTCTCTCTCCTCCTCGTAAGCAAGTAAGAAAATACTCATTTTTCATTAGCTTGGACCACTAAATCATAGATGGGTCTGAACCATATTAAATATTTCTCTTATGAACGGTGTGAAGATTTAGGAATCAAGAAGACATAATTAAAAAGTAGATAATTTTTTTTTATCAGCGAACACGAAATCTCCAATTAAAAAGAGGGATAGGTTATTCTACCTACTATTTTTTTCTACTTACCTTATGGTCTTTTAGAGTGGTACTGGTAGGTAGGGGTGAAACTAGGCCGGGCCGGCCCACAGGGGCCTACGGCTCGGCCTACGTCAGGCCAGACCTGACCTAGTATATTTCGTAAAATAAGCCGAGCTTGGGCTTTGAAAAAACTTGTTTAATAAAAAGGCCGAAGACCCAATTTCACAAGGCCTGACATATAAGCCTACAGGCCGACCTATATTGTACTATTTATTTTGAATAAAATAGAATAAGTATGCATTGCAAAAAAACTAAAGATATAAATTTAATCAATTGTAATTATTTATAACTTAATTATATTCGATTATATTTTAATAAAAATCTAACTTTATTTCTTATATAAGAGGAACCAACATCTCAACATGTTAAATTGTGTATATGAATATATTAAAAGGTTTTTGGGAGAAGTTATACTTACTACAAACATCATAAAGCGTTGTTGGATTAATGTAATTATTTTAATTTACGTAGTATGAATTTGTTTGTTGGATCTGATGAAATATTTTTTATTTAGTTTGAGCATTTTGCTTTTGAAAGTGACTTAAATGCAGATTATATGAATTTTGTTGTGATTCATAATTCTGTTTGGACGTTGAAATTATGATTTTTGATTTAGCAACAGAATTTGAGTATTTTGTAAAGTTGATTCATGGTTCTGTTTGGAAGTTAAAAATTAACATGCTAATGGGCTAGGCCAGACTGTTTGTTTTTTTATAAACGGGTCAAGTCAGGCTAACAGTTAAATTCGTAATAGGCTTGGGCTAGACGAAATTAAAATTTTTTTGCGTAGGCTTGGGCTTTTCGGGGTAAAGCTTGTCCCAGCCCAGCGCTCTTTCACCCCTAGTGGTAGGCAGAAAAATAATAGGTAGAATAACCTATCTCCTAAAAAGAACAATTTTCTTTTCCTATAAACTAATAATAATTATTTCCAGAATAATGGTCAATAGAAAAAAAAAGCCAATGAGGTCAACAACATCATTATTTATTAATGTGAATCAAATGTGGACTACTTCATTATGTAAATTTAGGAAAATAATCATATATTTTAAAAAACTCTATTAATTTTTTTTATTATAACCTTTTTTTGTCACAAATTAAATTAATCCAAATACACAGTTATTCCAACAAAAATGGTTTTTCGTGCAAAAAGTTTATTTGAGAAATAATTAAACAAAACTAAACTCACTTTAATAGCGGATAAAAGTTATATTCTTTATACTTTGACGAGCGAACAATAATTTGTCTTAATAAAGTTTACATCTTAAAATTTAATAAAGCGTAAAAGCTTATTCATATTATTAGGCAATCATGTATTATTGTAGAGTTTGACAAAAGTATAAATGAGTTTTAACTGTGATAAAAATATATCTTTTGGAGAAAGAATTTGAATTTGATTCTTATCAAATATATTTTTGTAAAGAAATGAAGAGTTTTAAATGAGTAAATCTGACTTGGGATTAGTCTCGTTGGTTCAAATAGGATTTGATGTTTGTCATTTTAAATGACATAAATTATGTCATTTAAAATGACAAACACTTTTTCTATATATATATATGGGTTTGCTTTTTGTCATGTCACATGATAAGACCATTTTCCTATACACACAAATCAAGTGTGGGTCCCACGCTTAAAAAAAAAAGTCAAACAAAAATCAGGATATGACGCCGTATCCTCAAGATACGTTGTCGGATCCTTGCTGCAGGAATGAACAGTGTCATTCCTGCAACATGATTCTTATATATATATATATATATATATATATATATATATATGAGTTTTATGCTAAAAGTGGATCAAAATTAAATCCAGAACTTAAATGTACAGTTTGTTTGATATAATTCAAGAACTAGTTTTTATGCAAGTTTTCATTTAAAATTCACTTTATCTCACGTTGCCTCTAATAAAGCGAGTCAATAAAATAGAATTTCTATGACGGACTCAACTGTTTAATTGCAATCACATTCTTTTCTCCCCATTCGCTTGTAAAAGAACTGTTGATATAATATGAAAAGCAAACCAATGAGTGGCATCTATCTAAATGGAACGCTGGAATACCAACACAGGTGAATTTTATAAATGTTCAGTTTCTTACCAAACCAAATTTTATTCATTTTCTTGACATGTTTTTATGCATATCATAATGGTTGAAAGGGTATGTGAGGATTTACAGTACACCAACAACATGCCATGAAAAGCATGTGGCACACCAACCAAAATTCTTCCTTCATATATAGGCAAACTCTTGGTCTAATGCAGTTGACTCAGCACATCTAAATTTTATTTTTACACTTTGCTTCAAACTAGCACTCAGTGAATTCCACCTAGATCATGGAAATTGGGAGAGAGGATGAGATTGTGGACATGTCAATGTCACCCCCATCAATAGGTTCCATGAAGATAGCAGGTAGCAATGACTTTGGTCACAAGAAAGAGTTCATTTCTCAAGCATACCTTCCAAATAGGAACTCAGAGATTGACATACAAGTTGAAGGTTCCAGTATCAACCAAAATGGCCCCCTCCCCATATTTCTAAAGGTACTAGGGAGTAATGGCTTTATTCTACAGCTTCATATATGCATGTGGACCAAAATCAGAATCAAGTGATTAGAGTCATAACATAAGTCATAACTATAATATTTTGTAATCAGTTATAATTCATTTCTCATTAATGTGCAGTTTGAAGATGTAGAGTATAAGATAAGAAATAGCCAAGCAGCTTCTAATAACCCTGTGAAGACAATGGTGTCAAAGGTAGCCACACAACTCACCATGGATGATGATAGATATAAGAAAATTTTGAAGGGCATCACAGGAAGCGTTGGCCCTGGTGAAATGCTTGCTCTGATGGGTCCTTCTGGTAGTGGCAAGACAACATTGTTGAGAGTTATAGGAGGAAGATTACTTGACAATGTAAAGGGGAAAATAACTTATAATGATGTTCAATATACTCCGGCTGTCAAGAGGAGGTTAAGTAGTTAACCAGCATCATAGAAATAATCATCTGTGTTATGGCAAGTACTTGATTCTTTTAAGAACATGAATATGTGCTAATGTTGTTACTTTCTGTTTCTTTTTTCCCCCCTACCTTGTAGGATTGGATTTGTGACACAAGAGGATGTGCTTTTCCCACAATTAACTGTAGAAGAAACATTGGTCTTCTCTGCATTCTTAAGGCTTCCAACTAATATGAGCAAGCAGCAAAAATATGCAAAAGTGGAGAGCACTGTCAAGGAGCTAGGCCTTGAAAGGTGTGTTTTGCACCAGATTTTAATTCATACACATGAGAATCAACCAGAAGTTCCTTCAAAAGAAAGACATAAAACTGTTTCCCTAAAAATCTCTTGCATAACCATAGATGTCGCAACACAAAAATAGGTGGAGGATATCTCAAAGGCATATCAGGAGGAGAAAGGAAAAGAACCAGCATAGGCTATGAAATTCTTGTTGATCCTTCACTTCTGCTACTTGATGAACCAACTTCAGGCCTTGATTCCACCTCAGCAAACAAACTCCTCCTCACCCTTCAGGGACTTGCTAAGGTGTCTGCAACTAAATTTAATCATGTGTCATTGAGATTAATGCTCAGATTTAGAACCCCCAACTTAGAATATATGCTGAAAGTTACATTTGATTTATTTATAGGCTGGAAGGACCATAATCACAACAATACACCAGCCATCCAGCAGAATCTTTCGCATGTTTGACAAACTTCTGATGATATCAGGAGGCTATCCTGTTTACTATGGGAAGGCTAGAGAATCAATGGAGTACTTCTCATCCTTGAGGTTCATCCCAGAAATACCAATGAATCCTGCAGAGTTCTTGCTTGACTTGGCAACTGGACAATTGAATGACATTAGTGTTCCAACAGATATTTTGGAAGATCAAGAAAATTCTGACCCTTCAAAAGCTGTTATCAAAGTAGGACTTCCTTAGAAGAATATATTATGTTCATGCTCTATCTCTTTCCCTGTTATTAATTGTTTCTTTATTATGTTAGTATCTACAACTCAAATACAAAGCTTTACTGGAGCCGAATGAAAAAGAGAACCATAGAGTAGCAAACACACCAGAACATCTTCAACTAGCCATTCAGGTTAAGAAGGAGTGGACATTGAGTTGGTTTGACCAATTCGTGATTCTTTCTAGGAGGACATTCAGAGCAAGAAGCAAGGACTATTTTGATAAGTTAAGACTAGTTCAAGCAATTGGTGTTGCACTTTTGTTGGGTCTCCTTTGGTGGAAATCCTCAACCAACACAGAGGCTCAACTCAGAGATCAGGTAATTTCCATGGTACTTTTTTTCCCTTCATATAACAAGATTAAACTACTAATCATTATTTTGCTGCAGGTTGGTCTAACATTCTACATATGTATATTTTGGACATCTTCATGCATTTTTGGAGCAGTCTATGTCTTTCCATTCGAAAAGTTCTACTTGATAAAAGAAAGGAAAGCTGACATGTATAGATTAAGTGTATACTATGCATGCAGCACACTGTGTGACATGGTGGCACATGTTTTCTATCCTACTATTTTCATGGTTATCTTGTACTTCATGGCTGGCTTCAAGAGAACTGTCGCTTGCTTCTTCCTGACATTATTTACTGTTCTATTAATAGCTATAACAAGTCAAGTAAGTTGTGTCAATACTAAGAATGTGTGAGTTAGTTGTTTATCAATTTTTTGAAGCTTTAACACCTAAAGTTTTTCACCAGGGGGCAGGAGAACTGTTTGGAGCGACAGTTATGAGTATCAAAAGAGCAGGGATGGCTGCTTCTTTGATTCTAATGTTATTCCTTCTTACAGGTGGCTATTATGTCCAGGTGTGTACAACTTTTTTAGTGCAAAAGCTTATCAATAATGACTAGCAACAATGCCAATTAAAATGGTACATGACTAGAATGTAATGTTAGAAATTGTAAGCTGGTGTTGAAGGTTTTGAGAGTTTGTTCATAACATGATATCTGGGTTTCTATCACCAAGAGGTTTAGAATTCGATCCTTGCTTGCTGCTCTATTCTTCTAATAAACAAGCTCAAAAGGCTTAGTGTGATGAGACATATTAAAAATATGATATAAGCGAGTGAGCAAGTTTTCACCGCGATTAGAGATATAATATAAAATTATTCACGTGCTTTTACCTAATAACTTAAGCTTTTAGGAGAGTTCGTTTCATGACATGTAAGACACTAACTTGTGGAATGAGTTGTATATCTGATACTTATTTACATATTTTTGCAAGATTTCCAACACTGACAGAAATGGCATGTTTTTTGTTGCAGCACATACCAAAGTTCATGCGGTGGTTGAAGTATTTGTCGTTCATGTACTATGGGTTCAGGCTTCTTCTAAAAGTGCAGTATTCAGGAGACCAACTATATGATTGTGAAAGCGAGGGAGGTTGCAGGACCCTGCAGAGTTCACCTGCATTTGACACTGTAAACCTGAAAGGTGGCTTAAAAGAAGTATGGGTTCTGCTAGCCATGGCTCTATGCTTCCGGTTGTTAGCATACTTATGCCTCCGTAGAAGAATTGACGTATGCAATTAATCTATATATGATGAAGTTTCTTGCTTCATACCTGTGTTAGTAATTTAGCACAAAAGGATTTGAGGGAAGTGTGTGAACTTCTCATTTCATAAATATGAATTTTGCATGTCATTTTATTTATATCTGGTCTTCATTAAACTTGTGGTATGATTTTTCTACATTTTAGCCACGATTAGTTTTCATCAGACCTTCCCGGATGTGAGCTTGTCCATTAGTATGTATTTTTCAATTTCTAATGTACTTTGCATTCTTTTTAAATAAAAAGTTCCAAAAAGTTTCCTATTTTTTTTTTTTTTTTTTAAATTATATGTTGCCAACTAATTATGACATATACAATATACAGAATATACGAAGTTTTTCTTCTACACAAGACAAATTAATACTTATTTCCAAAAAAAGAAGACAAATTAATACTTTTAAACCACATGGCCATTTCAAACTAAATAAGTAATACTGAAATGGGGTTCTGAGTTCTGACTAGTAAATAATAGTCAACTCTAAAGAAATCAATAATAATAATAATATGAACCATAATTTTGTAAATTAAAATTTTAGAGTGTGATGTAAATTGGTGGGGGAAATGACTACTAGAAAATCCAAATTCCAATGAAACAACTTAAGAATGTAAATTAATTCTGGTTCTTAAGAATGAAAATTCATAAATTAACCGACGACAGCAGCTTCTTGATGCTGAAACAGAGTAAGCACGTTAACAAGTTTATTTTCTTGAAGCCTTAAATGCGAAATTTAGTGTAACCAACCAAGAACTTTTACGTCAGTGAATGAAATGAAACCTTGCGTAAGTAAGGATGAGAATTGAGAACAATTAAAACAACAACATTGATAATGGACCGTGTCCTAGAGTATAACAACTTTTGATATATTTATTAAGGTTTTATTTTTCTCATGTTACATGAGATAAATTGTCTCATGCAACACATAAAAAAATAGATTGGATCCGCTAAAAAAAGAGAAAAAAAATAAAAAAAGTGGATTCCACCGACTTTTTTATGTGTTACATGACAATTTTTTTTTTTTTTTTAAATCAATGGAACCCATTTGATTGAATCTACTGGAAAATATTATCTTCTACTATCGGATGAGAAGATGCAACCCTATTCATATAAATGGTTCTTTCAATTTATTTAAGGGTATTAGTTTTCTTATGCAACAGGTGTCAAATCTTATCTTATGATGATACAAAATAAAGTGGGCCATCAGTTTTTTTGAAGAAGAAAAAAGAGAAAAAAATTGAAGCTCAATTTTCGATGTGAGAAGTGTAGGAGAGAACACTCTCCTGTAGTATAAGAAAACCATTTCCATCTTACTATATAGAAAGGAGAACCAAACTTTGGAAAGTTTGCTGACGTGTCGCTCTCTCCTTCATTCTCAGCTTTGTGTTCACATTGGAGGATAGTTTGAAAAGTTACTTCTTTTGGAAATTTTTTTTATTTCGTAAATAAAAAATTCTAAAAAGGAGGGAGAGTCTCTAAAATTATAAAATACTTGGTGGCAGACAACTGTATTAATGACCTTCGAAATTCGATTTTTTTTTTATTTCGTAAATAAAAAATTCTAAAAAGGAGGGAGAGTCTCTAAAATTATAAAATACTTGGTGGCAGACAACTGTATTAATGACCTTCGAAATTTGAAATTTAAATTTGAAATGGGTGGGAAGAATAATTCAAAATATATAGTGGAAGACACATGTATTAATGATCCACTACTTTCTGCATGGGTAGGTGGAAAAGTATTAACATCTCATTACTTTTTGCATTGATAGGTGAAAAAGTATTCAAATTCAAAATTTAAACTTAAAGGTGGGAAAAGATGTCATCATTAATATCCCACTACTTTCTGCATAGGTAATTGTTAACCCCATTAATATCCCACTATTGGGCTTAATTATTAAAAAATGAAATTATTTTGTGTATAAATAGGATATGTGTTACTGGGTCTTTTCATTTGGTAATTAGCTTTTGTGCATATCTTTCTTCTCTTCTCTGTCTATTTATCTTCTTCATCTTATCAAGTTGTTCTTCTATTAGATGAACATCTAATATTTTTCATTTTTTTTTGTAGCACTATTGTAGAGTAAAGCTGACGGGATGATTTGGAATCACAAGAATATGTATTTCTTTACTTCCTCAGAGGAAGGTATGACATTCTTCTCTATCTTTTTTTCTTCTACAAGTATTTTTTTTTTCTATAACACAATATTGTGATATGCCTTTTTTTTTATTGTATGTACGCGTTTTGTAGGGTGGAAGAATCCATGCTATTGTCAAGTTGTTCTTCTATTCGATGAACATGTAATTTTTTTATTTTTTTTTGCAGCTCTATTGTAAAGCAAAGCCGACGAAAGGATTTGGAATATCACAAGCCTGAGTGTACTTTGTGGCAGCGGTATGTAGATCAAGTACAAACTTTCTTGGCAAATAATCAATCTCCTCAAAATGTTGAAAAAAGATTTCAGGGTTATTTTTTTATAATTTTTTCTCATTTTATGCTTATGTTTCAGGGTTATCAATGAGGAAAACGCGAAAAATGCATAATGGTGGAAAATTAAAAGATCAAGGCTTTATAATAGTGAAAGCAAACAATCTACCACAAAACCAACATCATCAATGAAATTAAGGTTAAGAAGAAGAAGAAGAACAATTTGTGAGTATATTAGATGGAAGAAGATATGGGTTAATCCCTTTTAGTTTTTCAATTTTGATTTTTTTTATTTGTTATTTCAATTGCATATGTTTCGAATCAAAGACCCCAAAGTGAGCCTTGATTTTTATTCTCGCGTTTTGGGCATGTTCATTCGAAAAGCCACCTAGGCATGCCTTCTCAAACCATAGAATCTTCTGTAGCTTCTGATTATACACCCAAATTATACGAGATTCATTACATTTATTTTACTAATAATAATTGCTAATCTCTTTCCTTATATTTTGTTTATAAGTTTAATAAGATGAAAACTAAAATGATACATTTTTAATTTTTTTAGAGTCATTTATAATATGTTCCTCTTGTCTTACACTACAATTCGAGTTGTTTACTTTGTTATGTTAATCAATCATCGTTAATGTAGATAGCACCCCATTTATGGTATATATAACACCTCACAATTATAAATTAAGTATTAAAATATGAGTGGGGATATTCTAACTACCAAAAATTCTCACTACTAACTTACTATCCATCACATCACCATTGGATCAAAGAGAGAGATTGTTAAAAAATTTTTGAAGAGAGAGAAAATGTTAATCTAATGGTAATTAGATAGGTAGTAAGTTGGTAGTAAAAAAATTTAGTAGTTAGAATATCCCTCCTCTTAAAATATTAAATGAGTAATTAAGTGTAGGATTAATGAAAATCCTAAAGATTAGGCCAAAATACAAAGAAAGGGCAAAACGGTAATTAGCCAACACGCAACCCTAGGAAGATAAAAATTGAGTAGAAGGTCTCAGATGGTAAAAATAACCCTGGAAATGGATTCAGAACGAAAAATTGAGTGGATAGTCAAGTTTAAGAAAAATCAGTGAATAATGTTTTACTGGGTCAAAATACCGCGGTACGATTGCACCGTAAAACGTGCCGATTGAGTTTTGAGCTCTAAGTTTCAAATATGAGTTATAAATGGTCTATAGAACTAGGAAATATGATTTCTGATAAAAATTGATGAAAATAAGTCAGTTTGGGGAAGCGTGCCAACGACGCGCACAACAGCTTAAAACAGTGTTTTCTCCGAACGACCGGAAAACTCCGGATTCATCTGATCAAGTATAATTAAAGGACAATGGTTAATGTTAAAAATTAGAGTTTCTAAATAGGTTGTGAATTTTTGGACGTTTAGTTAAATTTCGGATGAATTTTAAATCGCGTGACGTGGCGTGGGACCCACCCACTCAAGTCCACTTAAGCCACTTCACCTCCCCTCACTATTCACCATCTTCTCTTCCCTTCTTCCTCATGAAACCCGCGCATGACAGCCCCCATCACCCACATTCTCTCAAAAATTTCTTTTCTTCACAAATCACTCATTTCTCCACCAAATCCAACAAAATTTGTGTTGAAATTTGTTGGAAAAGACCTTCTAAACACATTGGTAGCACTCTTAAGCTTTGAAACCGCCTCTTTGGGGGAGATCTAGGACAAAGTCAATTTCGAATTTGTGAGAAAAATTGATGTTCATGGAGTCATTTGGCCTTCCATTGCTTGGATAAGTCTTGGAAGAGTATTAAGCCTTGATTGTGAGTAGATTCCTATATCATTTCCATGGTTTATTTGTAGATTATATTTATGAACCCTAAACCTTGAATTGTTGATGTGTGATGTTAGAGCTCAATTGGAAAAAGTTTGTACATGAATATGTCTTAGAATAATGTGTATTAGCTATAAATGCAATGAAAATTTTAGGTGAAAAATATGATTTTGTAACTTAGAATATTTTGAGGTGCCATGAATTGAATTTTGAAAATGTGTTAGGATTTTAGTGGTGAGTTGTTGGATGATTATATGTGGATATAATGGTATTGTGTGAAGTGTGGAAGGGTTGAAAATTGAAGGAAATCCCTTGGTATTACATAGGTCACAATTCAGCCATTTAGAGAGTTTTAGGAATTTGATGTTGTTTGTATTGATTGGATGCTGTTTCAAGTGTTGAATGGTATTTAAATGGGTTGTGTGGTGGTTAAAAAGTGGAAGAATCAATGAAAAATGATAAATGGTGTTAAGGGTCATAAAAGATCCTAGAGTGAAATACTAAGTAAAACGACGCTTAAAAGACGTAAAAGGGAAAAACAACACTTGGTATAACATTTTAACAACCTAAGTATGTATAATAAAATGAGAAAGAAAATTTAGAAAAATAAATTTGGAATTAAGCCTTGTTTGGCCGAACCTACCTAGTGTGGGTGTAGGAATTTGACATTTTTCGCGTTTTGATAGAATTGCCGTGTACTGACGATTCATACATGGATATTGTAGGTTGCCGTACGTCGGTT